TAGTGGATATTGGAACTGCTAATGGAATCCAAGAGTATTTTGTCATGTCATTATAAGATTAAAAGCTTTTTTCCAGTTACATTAGTAAAGCCAAAGATTAGAAGATCAGTACATACCTTATACCTTAATAAATATGCTTAATTGCAAGCTGGAACCCTTCATTTTATAATTTTATATTGTAGTATAATTTTTAATATAACATTAATTTTTAGAAGCTAGAAGTATTGGGTTTTGACTTTTGAAAAAAATATTCCTAGTTTATGCTTGTCTGTCTACCTACTTAAAAGGAGGAAAACCAAAGTGCAAGTTCAGGAGACTGGATGAGGAATCGTTTCTGGGGCAGCCTCTTTCAAAACAAAATATAATTCTGCAATGCCAAGCTGTAGAAGCAGAAATTGTCCTTCAATGGACTCATTTTGTTAGTTGAAATGCTGCTTATACTGTAAAATGTACTTAGGTCATATTATGATTCTAAGTGTAAAGCTTCCCCCTCCCACCCCATAGGCTGAAACTTCAAATAGCTCCTGTAAAGCCTGTTAATTTTAAAATACTTTGACTGACTTGCTATTTATTAACTGTACATCATTTGGTAAAAAATCCTGGCTAAAAATCTATAGTGCTTTTCAAAAACTATACTTCTATATTGAGCTCTCAGGTAATAATAGTTTTACAGACATGGTAGGGAAAAATGGTTTCATTTTTTTCTGGGAGTCCTTCATTACAAATTATGCACACACATATCCACATGGAACTGAGCGGAGATGTTGGGATGTCTGTAGACACATCTATTTTACTGAGTCACTACCAAAGCTCATTTCATCTTCTGGGGTATCCTGAGACATTTCTGAAAAGGACCATGTGAGCCAGAACATTTACCATGAGGCTTACTAATAAAAATAAATTGTGTGTAAGTAGCCATTTAGAGTTTATACATTTGAACTATCCCTAACTCTTTTTTTCTGATTTGATTAATAGTTACATTACTTTTGTCTTTTCTTATCTATGTCTGTGAGGCAGCAGCTAAAGTCTGAGAATGAGTACTAAGTTTTAAAGTAGTCATAGATAATGCTCATGTTGGGTGAATGTTGTGGTTTATTAAATCTCTTTTTCTTGTAGTGCCATTATTGTTTAAGTAGAATGTAAGAGTATTTGGGAAATTGTTCAGTAGAATTTTTTTTTCTTAAAATACTAAGATCTTTTTTAGGAAGTAATGAAAAGATACATACAAAGGTTCTGTTTTCTCCTCTGGATTTTAATTTTACATTTGAGTTAAACTAATCTTACTGATCTACTTCACTAGAACAGACATGACCCGTGTTTTAATATGACACAGAACTCAAAGACTTCTGCCTAGAGAAATTTAGAGTAGAGAAAAATGATTTTTAGGATTAAAAACCAGTGTTACAAAATACTTAGTCTGAGTTATTTAAAACTCATATACAGAGCAGAGAGGAAAATACATGCAGCTAAGTTTAAGTATATGGCTTTATGGTTTCACTAGCTAGGCCTAAGAAGTCTTGGCTAAGTTCTCTTTTATGGGGTCTTAGACTCTCTTATACTTTAATGCATATCTCTGAAGGCAAATTGTTGTAGTGTGGAACATTTTCTGTGATTATATAATTTTCATGCAAGTACAGTACCTTAATTTTGATAATGAAAGGAATTTTCCTTTGAGAACTTGGTTTACTGTGAATTTTAAAGCCTGTCTGCGGGTGAGATTTATTTTAATCCCTTGAGTATTTAATAAGCATTCCTGAGACTGTCGCCAAAAGGTGACAAGATTAGCACTTGAGGTTTATTGACAGGATGTCTCATAGGAAAGACATTTATCTGTAAGGGTATTGTTTTAAAAGGAAGAATAAAGTCTGGCTTAAGCTCTGGGAATATACACACTTTCTGAAATGCAGAAAGAATAGAGCAGTTTCTTTTCATCATGGCACAGGGACGTAGCAGTTTGCAGAGGTAAGAAACATGTTGAGAAGACTTCGCAGTGACTAACTTCCTATCTGAAGAAAAATGTAAGTGCTTGAGGATTAAGAAAGTCTTAACAGTCCCTGTCATAAGTTGAATTCAGGCATGCTCAAAAGTCATTACTCAACAATAGCATTGTATCCTTACACATGTGCTTCTACCCAAATATATATCTGTTGGAGAATGACAGGGGTTACCAGAGGGTTTGTTGTTCTTTCTTGGTTTAAAAAACCCAGGAAGAACTAAATCATATCTTATATTCCAAGATTTTAGCATGTGAGACTGCTCAATCTCTTTGTCTCCTGTAACATCTTTGAGAGAACTCTGTGATTAACTGGTCATAAAGTCTTGTCTGTATTAGCAGGGCTTTGCTGCTCCTGTGCCCATCCCAACAAATACTCTGTGGTACTGAGTCTACTTTCACATACCCCAGTGTGGTCCTGTTCCCTTCAAAGTATTTCCTTCAGGTTTATATACCACAAATAGAAGAATAATCAGATCCTTTCCTCTTACTTTATCTATGGACTATGCATTGAACAACTTATTTTAAAGCAGTTGTGATTCAATGGGGATGTTTTTAATTTGCTGCCTGTTCTCTTTACCTCTGAGGAAAGAATTTTGTAAATGCTGAATAATTTTAGAACATGTTTTCTTGGTTAAGGGTTGGATCATATTTTAAATTAGTTTTAAGAGGAAGGAAATCGTGTAAATGCTGTGGAATTCAGATAAGCACTGTGCATAGGAAATAAGTACTTTAATTTAGGGTGCCTAGAATTGGTAGGTCAAGCTGATGATAATAAAGGACCAGATCTTAGCTTTGTTTCAAAGAACATGTAATCAATATTCACTCTCCTGTTTTATTTCTCTTTTACTTGAGAATTTGTTTTTGTGAAGCTGAAACGTGCAATTGCTTAAGTATTCCACAGGGTGTCATGAGGTAGTTGTTGGAATCATTAATACTTGGATGAAGTAAAGAAAGAAACGTAGTGTGCAGTCCTCTGAATGCCAGCTAATGTAATTTTAGATGTGACTAATACACATGCCATAAAATAAAAAGTTCTTAACTCATTAACACATGTATCGTATTTCTGTATCTGTATAAAATATACACACGAAGAAAAATATTACAAGAGGTCATTTACAAGAGTGAGCTATTCTGTGTCAGGTCTTCCCAAAGAACCCTTTCTATATATTCCCTAGTATTTTATAGTTTACACAGCAAGTGGAATCTTTGGCTCATAGCAGCAATCTGACATACAAAACTATTTATATAAAAAAAGAGAAAGAAAAAGAAAAAAACGTATAATACTTGTATTTGCTGTACTGTAAAGAATTTCTAATTGGAGTGTTGTCCTCCAAATTTACTTACAAATTTAATTTTCATTTTTATTTAAGTTCTTTTCAAATTTAAATTTATTTAAACACACTTCATGCAGTGCACACAGATGTACTGTGGATTTTCTGACCTGTTAATTATAGATATATATGATGTCAAAACCTAACTTCAGGGTTTTTTCCTGCACACGTATAATGTAGTAGGAGGAGAATTTTTAGCAAGGTGTGCCCCAAATTAGTGTGTTTGATTATGGTGGTAGATTTTTGGATATGAAGATCAAATTTTTATTGGCATAACTGTTGACCTCTGCAGAGCTACACACAATAAATTCAACTTCAGGTTTGTAAAGAAATCTTTAAATACAGTTTAACAGTAACTATAAGAGATCCTTCTTCTGTTAAAATCTGAGTTGTTTTAAATGGAAATGATATTGACTATGAGAAAAAAATCATTATGTTATGAAATGAACAGCAAAACATCATTTCAGTAGGAAGAGAACGTGATCCAAAGTGGAAAATCACTAATGAAAGTAAAATTCTGAATCTTTATTGACAGTAATAATTTGTCTGATTTTGTCTACATATTTAAAACCAGTGTTGAACAGATGACAATGTATGGATTTTGGCATATTTTCTCATATTATATAAAGTGGCATGCTAAAATGATAGACTAGTTAATTTTCTTGTTACTATTTATTTGTGCAAAATCTTGGGTTTGTGCCAGTGGCATAATAGTGAGTGGCACTGAGAGTGTAGGACGAAGGGAGTTTGATTCTTCTGACAGACAATTAATGACATTTTACACCTATGACATAACACGTGTCCTCTCTGCATTATGCCCAGAAGATCACAGTGTCTCACAACCATAGGAAGGGATTGCCATGATAATCAGCAACTGAGTGCTTTTATTTGAGTTTACTTCCCAAATCCACATCATCATGTGGACAACTTTGTGCAAAACCTTTCTGATTTAACCCTTTCTGATTTAACCACTATAAGTCACGACCAGTGTGTTTGTATGTACCTTGGCAATAAGCTTAAATACTTTCTAGAGGAAGAACCTGACATGTCTAAAGCAGTTAAAATATCCAAAATAGAGTGGCATACTTTAAAACTTCATGAAGATGTAGAAAGTGAATGGAAATGGTGGCTTTTGAGGTTTTTAATTTGGTTTTGCTTGTTTGTTTCTGGTTTTGGCTTTTTTGAAGTATAAACACCCTGATCTCTGTCCAGGTGAGTTTTCTTTACAGCAGGGCATCATGGAAGAAGAGGTTTTTAGATAGGCAGGTTATCATCTTTCCTCTTCCTCAGTTTAAGGCTCACTCGACTCGCTTCGCCTCGCCCTTTCTTTGTCCTTCTTATTGAGCTAGAATAATCTAAAGGGGTAATTCCAGGCATACTTTAAATTACTGAGATAATGCAGTACCTTAAACTAAAGTGATTAATATCAGAAAATACTTAAATAATAAAATACCTGACTGCATTGAGATTTTTCCTATAATTTATTAAAAAAATTATACTTGTTTAGCAAAGGAAAACAAAATAGAACGGACAGAAGCAAAAAAACTATTGATATTATAGCAGGTACAAACTTGGGAGTATCATATGTGTGATATGTATACACTCAGCACCCAAGTTCCTCTTGGAATGTTAAGACAAGGTTGATGAATATTATAATCTGTTTTTATTTTCAGATTGAAAATCTACAGGAGCAACTTAGGGACAAAGACAAACAACTAACAAATCTAAAAGACAGAGTGAAGTCGTTGCAAACGGATTCCAGTAACACAGACACAGCACTGGCAACCTTAGAAGAAGCTCTATCAGAAAAGGTAATGTTTTGTCATGAACAGCATCATGTGCTGCTCTTGTGGGGGAACTGTGGGCAGAAAGTGTCTTTTTAAGTTGGTCTGGCACCTGTCACAAAACCTATGGGCCCTGTCAGGAAAGCAGGTGGCTCTGTTCTGGGAGGATGAGCAGGGAGGGGCTGCTGGCTGCTGAGTGGACACAGGACTCAGGGAAAGTAGTATCCTTTTAAATGCTCAGGGAGAAATGGCCCAGGACAAGGGAAGATTTTCACTTAGTCAATGAGATGAGTGGTTGTTCTCTGAAAGAACTGAAAATTGGACACCTGACTTAAAGAAGGTAGAAGTTTGGATATTTTCCTGTCTTTGTGATCTTGATTATCCTGTTCTTTCGTCCATTAAGCAGGGCCTAAGTGAAGAGCCAAGAGGAATTGGCTGTACCAGTTGTTACCTTGGCTTGCTGTTAGCAAGTTTCCTACACTTCATTTGTAAGGGAAACTGTGTTTCATAAAAAAAAATAATTGAGAATTACTTTTTTTTCCCCTTTACAAACTGTATGCCTTTAATTTGAAAATACCTAGCAGAAGGGATAAATCTGGACTGTTTAAATTAGTGCCAACATTCCTACCAGTTGCAATGAGGTCAGGTTTCTTCTTTCAGTTAACTTTGAATGTGAGTTAATGCAAGTGAATTTATATGCCCCAAAAATTAGTACAAGTATCCACATTTTGCAGCTCACAGATCTTAATATATACCGCTTAAATATGAACAGGTGAGTGTGACTAATTAAAGTAATATGTGCCATTCTGCAGTGTGTATGAAGGTATTTATGACTGTATATGACCTTAAAACGCCACTGTGGTGTTGGCACTAAAACATACAATGTTAATGTAGGATTTTTGATTTCTTGTGTGTTTAATTGCCTTACTAGTATTTGCTTGGTCAACAACAGTGAAAAAAGTTGGCATAAGTATGGCTTCCTATGGGTAAGCACACAGCACTTATACAGGGAAGTTACACGTGTTTTTGTAATCTTTCACTGCTGCTCTGGACACACTGCTCATCCATTTCACAGCATATTAATAAAAAATGACACAAAGCACTTGTTAATCTGTTTTTCCTCGGTGTAAACTATCTTTTCTGCATTAGTCACTTTCCCAAAATGCCCATAGAGGCAGCTGAGAGTTTTATTAAAACAGTCCTTTAGCCCTTGTGCTACAGTTGTCAGCATGGAGAGCAGAGTGACTGTCACACTGCAGACTTGCCAGTTATCCTGTGCAACTGAGCATGAAGTCGATTGTCAAAAGCCAAAGAANAGCAGTATCTGCAGCACTTCAGAGAAAATGCACTTATGTGATATTTCTTAGCTGGGATAATTTGCTAAGTTGCAGTCTGTCTCCAATTTTAATGTTATTTCTCTGCTGAAAATATTAAACTAATGAGAGTTTGCCGGAGTTCGTAATAGAGGTAGCTAGTGTGGAACTATTGGATAGATTATAATTGTCTTCTGACTGCCACAAATACAAAAAATTGAAACCTAACCCAAATTAATTAACTCTAATTGGTTTTTAAGTCCATTTTATATCAGTACCATTATAAAATAAGTTGAAATAAATGTTAGCTAATAAATATATGTAAAAGGATTTATAATTTTGAAGAAGTTTTCTGTATATCTGAAAATATTCTATTGTTGTCAGACATACAAACTGTGAAATTTTCCTCAACTCAGGATGTATTATTTTTGAATGTTGTATTTAGTATAGTTCCAGAGTTTGCTTTAAAGTTATGCTATGGAATTTCTTTGTGTATATGATAACTTGACATGTGACAACACTAGAGACCTGATGGTGTGGAAATTTTGTGTCAAGCTTTATTTGATACCTGAAATAAAGGTTCAGATCCAATAAATGATGCTATTTTTAATGTTTTAGAAAAATTAGGTGAACTTAAATCCTTCTCTGAAATGTATTTTTGTAATTCATGTCTGCTTCATTTGGAATGGATATACACGAACAGACACTTTTTGAAAGAATCAGTGTGATTAGTGGTTTTTCCAAGTGGAATTGATTGGAATTCACATGGGGTCCCCGAGGTTGAATTCTGTACAAAGTAGTCACTTTGCTTACATGCAGTCAGCTGGGAATGGCATCATTCCTGGGGTGTTTGCAGGCTGATCTGACATGTTTACAGTGAATGCCATGGGATGTTTTCCTCTGCCATGGAGATTTCTGACTTTTTACAGCTGATGAAGGTGATGGAATCATTTGTAAACCAATGCTTTTGAGAGGTGTGGAAGCTGAGTTGTGCTGTGGTTTCTGGTGACTGTTTCAATCAGTTGTGGAGAGATTGTTGGTTATAAAAGTTGTGTTGCTGTATATAAAGGGAGGTACTCTATATGTAAGTGGTATGCTTATCATTCTGTATTACTTTGTTAATCTAAGGAAAAGATACACAGAGTTATTTAAATAATAAACCTTTTCTACAAATGAGTTTTTGAACTTCTGATGTGTGACCACTGTGTCTGTGACACTGCAGTTAGAATTAAGATTAGCTTTTGAAAAACAGGGTACTTGATCTCAGAGCCTGAGGAGAAAGTTCCCAAGGTAAAGACATCTATATCTCTGTGTGATTTTGATTGCTTATTGTACAGAGAAATCACCCACAATTTCTTTTCCACTGTAAATCTCTTGAAGGCCACGCTTTGAAAAGCAGGTTTTCTGATGTTAAGTGTGATTTCTGGGATGTACTGACACACTGAAAGAAGCCAGTAGGCATGTCCTAGAAGTTCCCAATGGACTATTATACCTGGCTTTCTTCTACCTTCTGGCAGCTAAATACTGTGACGGTGTATGTTTTCATATGTGTCTCATTCCTTTTTGTGTCTAGCTTTCCAATCCATCCTAGCTGCTCCCAGTAACTTTCTTATCCCTATTCCCATCTGCAGTAGCATTCTTGAGACCTACAGACTTTATCAAGAGTTATTAACTATTTCCACTGGAAATAGTGGTAGAAATATGAAATAGATGTTTGTCCAAACGGAACAAAACAAGAACTCCTAATGAATTTCTTATTAACAAGCACATCAGTATAAGTACTTTTATCAATTTCATATGTGCTGCTGCTGTTAAGAAAGGATGATGCTTTCATTTAAGAAAACCTGAATTCCATGGAAATACGTTTGAGGATTTTTTGTTTGGTTTTTTTTTTCCTAGAAATTGTAGCAAAGCAACTTTGCAACTATATAATTTTGTTTTATACTCATGATTTTACACTCAGATTAGGCTCAGTTTTTGGCTTTATCTTAATTCTTTGTCAATTCAATAGTTTTTGGAATTTTAATTTAAAAATAATGAATAAGATACTTCTAGAGCATCATGGGAAGCTCTTTTAAAATAGAAATAAAATTTATTTATATCACTTTAGTTAACCACAGTCCACTGAAATCTAATTGAATTGCTTTTCTTGGTTTCTTTTGGAAGAAAAACAAATTATGATCATATGATATGAATGAATTATGATGCTTTTTTAAAGTTCAAAACTCAAATGTTTGAGCATTTATGTTTTTCCTGCATTGTTCTTGAAAATATACAGATTGAGATTTTAGCTCTGAATTAGAAGATATGTCCCCTTATTCTTTCTGAAAATAGATTTTTTTCCAAGTATTTGTCTCTGATTTTCTTTTTCTTTTGTAGTTAGTGCTTAGGTATCTTGGTAACACTTAATGAGAAATTAATGTAGACATCTTAAACCAACATCAAGTTTTCCTGAAATGGACTCCTTTTAATCTTTGTATTTTTATGACAGTATTGCTGCTATAATTTATCCTCTTGTTAGGAATCAGAAACAAATCACCTTCAGTCACATTTGAGTTCATTTTAGAACTAAATTGCAAAACTTATTCATTTAATTATTTACTTTTAAGTTCAGAGCCTCTCCTAAGCACTGAAAATTCTTAAAAACAATAAAGGTTACATTGCAATTAAAAAAAAGAAGTTTGAAAATCAGACTATGCAAAAGTGCTATCAGCTTCCTTGATGTTATAACAAGAAACTTTTCAAAGAATATCTCAGCTCTTGGACTGGCCCAAAGCAGCTCAAGAGGTTGCTTTCATGAAGCTGATATTTATAAAGTTGGTCCTACTGTAGCAGCACACAGCAGATAAGCAGTGGAGTATGTCTGATAATAGAGCTATATGCTGGGGCAATTCAGTTCCTGCTTCTGTGATAAAGTGCAAATAGATTAGACCTGTGAGGTCCCAGATTAGTGCACGAGGAAAGCTCGCCAATGCAAATAAGACTGAAACAAGAACACATTGTTGGGATTTCTGCTAGTTAGCTGTTAATCAAGTAAAACATGGTATATTAGGGCCTTTTAACACGTTTTTGACATTTAGCCTTATGCAGCTGACAGATAAATTAGTCTTCTTTTGTGATTGACTGAGAAAAAAAAAGTTATACTGTTCATTAAAAAGATTAAATAGTGTTATGTTTAATTCATTGTAGATGAAAAAATCGTTTGGGTAAATAAATCTTCAAGAAGCAATTGCTATAGAACTAAGTCTGCATATAACTAGGTGGAATCTGAATGGTTATTAAACTATTCAACTTAGTGGTGGCTGGCATTTTAATGTTAATATTCAAGAGATTAAGATTTTTTTATTATTTGTTGTTAGGAATAAACTTGAAGTTATTTAGTGTTCCATAGAACCAGAGAAAGGTTTGGGTTGGAAGGGACCTTAAAGATCATCTAGTTCCAACCCCCTTGCCATGGGCAGGGACACCTTCCAATAGACAGGGTTGCTACAGACCTCAGATCATCTTCAGGGCTCTCTCCAACATGTCCATGTCCTTGTGTTGAGGGCACCAGAGCTGGATGCAGTTCTTCTCCCAGTGGAGTCTCACCAGAGCAGGACAGATGTGCAGAATCCCCTCCCTTGACCTGCTGCCCAGGCTGCTTTTGATGCAGCCCAGGACACGGTTGGAAAATGCATTACTGAGTTGAATATCTTTCTGTATCCATCACAAAACTAAACATATTCACATCAGTGTAGATCTTCAATGAATTTTCTGTATTACTCTTATCTTCTGTGTTACTCTTATCAAGTGTTTAAAACCTTGGACTTCCGATTTTGAAATCCAGAGAAATGAGGCATTGACTTCAATACCATTAACTCTGCTTCTGAAGGTTGTTTTTTTCTAAGTGCTGCATAATGCAAAGAAATTTTATTGTCTTTTCTTAAAATGATTCCCGACTTTTCTATTTCGCAATTCTTTCCCTTTTTAGGAAAGAATAATAGAGCGTCTGAAGGAGCAAAGGGATCGAGATGACAGAGAAAGACTTGAAGAAATTGAATCTTATAAAAAAGAAAACAAAGACCTGAAGGAGAAAGTTAATGCTTTACAAGCTGAACTGACAGAAAAAGAGGTCAGTCTTTTCATAAAATCTCTGCTCTTCTGTCTATGTCATTACGATGAAAGAAAGTGCATTAGGATTGCTCTTGAACCATTTTGAGTTCTGAAATTCTGCCACCTCAGCGGTCAGCTTCTGAACTGCTGTTTTCTTAAGCGTTCTTCACGGTCCTCATTTGTACATAAAGGATTGCTTCAGGTTATACACAGTTGTGTGTCATTGTCTCTACTTTGTCCTTTACCTAAGCCTCCATTGGGCTCAAATATTCCACTGCTGCTCCTGTTTCTGTTTGTCAGTTAGAGCAATAAATTTCAAAGTGTTTGTACCTCCAGACCAGAGCACCAGCTTGTCTGTATAATGAATGTTTCTGTGTTTCACTACATTCTATCCCCTGTGGTTCCAGTTGGTTGTGTTCACAAAATGGTGTCTTTTGCTATCAATGCTTATCTTTGCGTCAACTTTTTGGGGAAGGGGAGGGGGAACAGGATCCAAGTGATTGCTAAGTTGGCAATAAGTTAGTGTCCTGGTGACTAGGAATTAACTTTTTACTCTTGGTCGTTTTTCAGTCTAGTTTAATCGATCTCAAAGAACATGCATCTTCATTGGCATCAGCAGGGCTGAAAAGAGACTCCAAACTTAAGTCTTTAGAAATAGCCATAGAACAAAAGAAAGAAGAGTGTAGTAAGTTGGAAGCACAGTTGAAAAAGGTAAGTTCCATCTTAAAACAAACAATCAGCAGAACAAAAATCAGCATCGCATACCCTCATTTTGAAATTATGATCTTATTTACTCTTCTGGAGTAAATCTAAAATCTAATCATCTTATGCTGTTTGCTGATGCTTGCATCAAATACTGCTTTTTCTCACGAGGTTTGTACCAAAGCCACTAGTGAGCCTCAGAAATTGTCCCGAATGCCTCTATGAGGGAATTCTGAGACTCTGCAGCACATAGTTGAACTGGGAGCAGGACATTGGAGGGAAAGTAGGAGGGCAGAAAGAAATTATCAAACTAGCAATTTGTGTGTGAATTTATACCACTTTTAGAAGTGAACTGAAATGTTTGTGGTATGGGAAAAAAATTAAAGGCTTGTCCAAGAAGTGCTGTACTTCCTAGTCCAAAAAATTCAGCTTCCAAAATGGAAACTCTAGCTAGGTTTTATTTTGATGTCTTTTTGGCTTTCTTGGTGAACACATGTTTGTGATAATTAAGCAAAATAATGCAAAGTCTATCTCAGCTGGCAATTCAGTATTTCTACTCAGCAAGTAGTGGAAGCAAGCATTTAAAGGAAAACATGCAAGTCCTGCATTTTATTACATGGTTTTATTTAAATTGCTGTGTTAAACTAGTTTTTGCTTAAATGATTTGCAGTTTGTTGATACCATTGTTTCTTTGACCTTTCTCTGTGTTGTTTGGTAGTGTCTGCTCTCATTGTTTGAACACCAATCTCATTACGTATTTGATGGGTTTAGGCATTACCTTTGCCTTCTGCAATTCATGACTAAGTGTATGTCAAATGTTATTTTTTTTAATATTGATATAATGTTTCATTTTCTAGAAAATAATATTTGTTCAGTGAATGTTACCACTGTTAGGATAATATTCTTGACACTCTTTTTACCCAGGCTGTTTAATCACTGCTCAGTGATTAAACATTGTTTCAATAGCCTGACCTGTGAAGAAGGTACTGCAAAGTATAAAGGATACCAGAGTGCAAACCTTATACTTCTACTATTTTTTAATTCACAATGAATATGTGCAATTAGGTGCCTGCATTAGATGTTTAGTTATGGAGAGGAAGGGAAGCTTTTTCAATAAACATATACAAGCAGCCTATACAAATGGAAACACAAGTATTTTAAATGTCTGAGAACTTATAAGTGCTACTGATGTCAGAATTAAAATATCCAAAGAAAAGGTTTCTCTGGAAGTCATTTAGTTTGGTTTTGTTTGTTAGAAAATAAGTTTGTTTACTTTACACTTCACTACAAAATATACTTCATTACAATCTGAAATATCTTATTTTCTTAATTTAAAGAAAAATAGTTAAAAGAACCCTGAAAGCACAGATCACTTAAAAAAACCTCATCGAAATCCTCTTGAAGGACTTGAAATTCTAAGTCAATCTTTTATGACTGTACATATAAACACATCATAGAGTCATGGAAAAATAAGCCCTTATAAAAGTCAGAGAGTGTCTGGGACGTCTTTCGTATAAAAAGGGAGTATGTTCCCTGTGAATAAATACAAAGGATTATTAAATGAAAGTTGAAAACATAATAGTTTTATTATATCATAAATACAGCATAAAGCCCCAATGGAAATTCACTCAACATTTGTAGGAGACCAGGTATTTCCACAATAAAATGGAGTTACAACCTTCTTTCTGGGCATGTTTAATTGAACAGAAACAGTGACTGTTAATGATAGTAGACTCCAAACAGTAATTTTCAATTCACATTTTCTCTAATGAAATACTTTATGTTCAAACCTGTAAATATCCTGTGTTAAAAGTAATTGGTCCCCAGAAAACCACCTTCCCCATGTTTTCACTCCTTAGGAAACTAACTGAAACAGAAATCAGGGTTACTCTTGCACGCGTCTGAGTTAGAGTAGGAGGGGACATCAACATAGCTGGGAGTAAATTAACCTGTGTATCCCATAAGTGTGCTTGGGTAGGAACATTAACCACTACAGGAGCTGGAAGGACCAGGCACATTTTATATCTCTCTTTAAAAGTGACTCCAAGGGGCTGTCTCGTTGAAAAAAGTTGAATGTAGTTTGCGCATTACTCCTCTCTAAAAATATCGTAGAGAAGGTACTTTCCATTATGGGACTGCAAAATAATTGTAGTACAATGTTGATTTATATGTCTTAACAGGTTATACTAATAAATATAAGGATAGAATTCTGTGCACACTTGCTAGGAGTTAGTTTTCCATGAGCACTGATGGTAGAAGTGCTAGGTCTGAAAGAAAACATGCACAAGAGGCAAGTCCAAACTAAATCTGTAAATAAAAAAACAACTTTTAGAGTTTCTCTTCCCTGATTTCCCCTGCTTTCTGCTTTTTGGAGACAAAAATATTCATTTATTGATAATAAAGATGGTTTTGATTGGGTCTGATCAGATCCAAACATTTTTCAGTATTGCATAACTGGATTGTTTGCATTTCAGCTAGAGAAAATATGCTGATTCTAAACCCACTGGTTTACACAGTAAGCATATTTCAAAAATAATAAATAAGATATTTGTAAAATGTAATTCTTCCTGTGACTGTGCTACATTTTGGTATACAAATCAATGATTATAGACATGCTTATTAAACTTTTTGTGACAAAGATTGTGGATTGAAATTCATATAATGAAAAAACCAATAAATCATAAATACCAGAGAATGGTCAATGCTTTTTCCCCAAAATTCCGCAGATTTTTGTTGAGTTACTTTGTATTGCTACTAGTGAAAGAACAGCAGGAATTACCTAATAGGTAGTGAAGTGTTTTATATATATATGTGTATATATAATCTTTATTATCCACTCTAGAATTTCCTCCTTTTGTTGTTTTTCATTATCTTAAATTTACTTGCTTACTGACATATTTGCAGTTGCCTAAAGTACTTTTTGCCAAGCTGTAGTGTTCGAAAGTCATTCTGCATAGAAAATTCAGTCTTGTGTTAAACAAAAGGAAAGTAATAAATTTAATGATACAATTTAATTAATCTTTTATTATTACCGTCTTTGAAGCTTTGGTGATAAATTGCAGCCTCAGCCAAAAGCACTTCTCGTGATTCATTGCTTGAGACCAGCACTTAATGTATCATCAAAAGTGGACACCTTTCTTTATTTCATGGGTTATTTAACTTGAGAAAGGGAAAGTAACACAAACCTTAAATTTCTTACTCCAGCTATTCTTTTTTAGGAGCCAAAGTCAACATTTATGTTTCCCCAGTGCCTCTCACTTTCACCAAGGAATGTTTAGAATCTTAAATTTCTACTTCTTTTTTTTTTTTTAATGACAAGTTCTTCTGTGCAAATGCACTGGTTTTGTTGAGCTAATGCTGTTTTCCTGGATCTTTCCTTCTTTTCCTGTCTGTGCTTCACTCCCTACCAACTTTGCAATGTAGCAAGCTGAACAGTTGTTCAATCAGATGTACAATCCAGTAAGTTCTTTTTTAAAATGCCCGCTGTAACATATGAAAGCATGAGGATCCATCCCCTTACTGTGTTGTGCTCTTCCTCTGTGGAGCTTTGCAGAACACTTCTGATGCTCACTATGCTATATTCATTGTATCCAAATAAATGAACTTTGTGGACTTTAAGGCTGTTTTAAGAATATGAAATGCCTTAAATAGGTACATGCTGTGTTTCTGAGAAAGCAAACACTCTAGCCTTTAGGTCCTCAACTTTTCCATTAGAAAAAGCATGCAGATTTTATTTATTTTGGTTTTGGTTTTTGCTTTGCTTTTTAATTCCTCTTTCTGCAGTACTTTATTTGATCCTTCAAACTTAAATAACTCCTAATGTGTTCAGTTTTATCTTCAGTGACTGAGTTGATTAGGTTAATAACAGCATCTAGGAAATGACTGGTACTATTTCCAAAAGTCCATATGACTAAAATAGATCAGCTCTACTCATGAAAGACTGTATACATTCAGCATATATATATTAGGAACATGGAAACTTTGTATTTAAGCAAAGAAAATGCTGAAATATAAAATGATTAATGCAATGGGCAGGTTTTTGCGAAAGCACAGTATTGTTTTGGCTTGTTTAGCATAAATATTCTTGCCAATGTGTGCTTTAATTGCACAATATCTCCCATTCTGACTTGACTGTGCTCCTTTTCAATTTGAGGAAGAGCAGCAACAAACATACTCTCTGCAAAGAACAGTTTCCATTTTTTTGGCAGAGACTGTTACATTCAATGTGCTCTGAGCGTCACAGGGCAGAAAAAATGATGTCACTGTAATAGCAATTTACAGGCTATAGTTTACATAGTAATCATAGTCGGAATTAACATGTAATTGGGATAGTACATCTAGAGGAACTGGGTTTGTAGCTGAAGTAATGTGTTACTGTGCATTAGAGAAGGCATTGCCATCACTGAAGTCAATGGGAGTCTTGCCATCAGTGTCAGTGGATCAGGATTCCGCCTTTGGACTCTGTCATGGATAGTTCTAACCGTGTACTGGATATGTCATGACTTACATATGGGGAAAGAGAGTCCCACAGAATGTGCTGTATTTACTTTTAAAGTTATTGGTTAGCTGGTTTTAGAATTCAGTCATAAATTGTAGCGTAAGTAGCATCAAACCTGGTATTGTCACCTCTCCCCTCCAGCACGCTGCTGGTGACAGAGCTTGTCCCTTGGAATAATAAACCCCTTTTTCTCTGTATCATCTTGGTTCACCTTTGTGGTAGTTATGTTTCTATTCATATCATTTGCACTCCTACTGTGCTTGTCTTTTCCAGACTTTAGCTTGATTTTCATAAATGCTCACCAGTCATTATTTCAGTATTAGCGACTCTGCTGTATAGAATTTGTTTGTTCCCTCCTAGTCTGTTTGTCTGCAGTATTCCAAAGTCAGTCCTTTTCTTAGTTTTTTTCCACTGCCTTTACATGCTTAATTTTCCAAAGGACAGCCTGTTGGCAGTTCCAAAATAATGGGTGCTAGATCCTTTTCCTTTGGCACCAGGCAGCAATCATAGTATATTGATAAGATGATTTTGTTAAATAAACTTTTCTTGCTCGTCTTCTTTCTTCTCCTACTTTTATATATATATATACATATATATATAAAAAAATCTACTTTTAACAATGTGAGTAGCAATGATTTTCTTCTCACCCCAAACCAACCAAGGCCTTGAAATGAAATCATGATTTGACTGAAGTGAATGGCAGCATTTTCTTTGTGTTCCACAAGGCCTAGATTTTACCTTTGTCTTTGAGACAGCGTGATAGCAGTTAGTTGATACCTTTTTTTTTGTACTCAAAATCATTGATACTTTATTTAACAGAATGTTTTATTGACCTTTTTTTTTTTTTTTTGCCTGAGAATCATAGTTCTAAAAAACTCAGATGTCAACGTAATCTGAAAACACTGAAGTTTTCATGCTCATTTGTTTACATGTGTCAGAGCAATAGCAACCAATCACTGAGTGGACTTTTAGCCCATGCAGTAATATAGCATTTTTTTGGTGGTTGAATGCATTTTTTGTGCTGTGTCACACAGGTATCAACTCCAAGACCTTCATTTTTTGCTGAATCTAATGTTTCTTAAATACAGCAATGGCTAGAAGTGTTTTATTCTTGTATACATTTGTGTACCGAAGAGGAGACGATACTAAAGGGGTGTAAATCCTGCATCCTCTATAGCAAATGATTTCCAATTCATTCACCTGTAAGAGGGAGTAGAAGTGGACATTTCTTCATGTTTTGAAAGGTGAACTTCTTGAAATACCTAATGACATTTTGTGCAAAATTGATTATAGGAAATTACATTATTGCCTTTGGACAGTAATAAAAATATAATGCTGTACTTTAGAGTTCAGGTGAACCTTTTTCTGAATTACTAAAGACTAAATTTTCCTAAATCCTTCACCAGAGCAATGTCAGATTAAAATTCAGAGTACCTGCAGAATCCTCTCTAAAGTACCTACTGTAATCCCTGAAGTTAAATAAAGTCTCCATGAATTTTAAGGAGACAAAAAAATTAAGGTGACAGCAATCTATTTTTTATTTGTTTATTACTTAAAGTAATAAAATTTGAAGGATCTTACAAAGTAATTTCTTGCATGTAAATTCTGCTGTTCATTTTTTTTTTTTTTAAATCAAGTATTTGGTTAATTTCTGTGTATGTTTGTGTCTGAAGCTTTAAAAATTAAACATTATATCTATCCATCCATTTCTGTTGTGCAGAACAATGCATGTATGACTGTACCATAAGATTTTAATAGACTAAATAATTCATGTTGCATGTCTGTGCCACACTATTATGGTGTTTCTGTAGGAAATTTGTGGTTTACATAAGGAAATGTTACTTTACTTCTGAAGTATTTGTAGTATTTATTAAGAAAATATCAGAACAGATACATAATTAATGTAAAAATTTGTGAAATCCTAATGGTAGAGTAATATGCTATTTTTATTGAACAGTAAAAATAACATACAATAATGCAGTCACAAGATGGACAGAAAAGACATCATAAACAAGTGGGCTAGTTTGCAAGTAACCTAATCTGCACATACAGGAATTATCATTTGCAGATACAGATTTAGAAAGCTCAAAGGTACACATGGACCAGTCACTCTTACCCATATAAGCCCAGTAAAAACAGAAAATGTGTTCTTTCCAAGAAAACAGAGAACTTAGGGAGAAAAAGTGGGACAGAAATAATAAAAAAGAAAAAGGTATAGAAGAGAGGGCAGCAGTAATAGGCAGAGACTTTCTGATTCATGTGATAATCTTGTAGCTTTTGGCTGCACATCCCACAAATATGGGATGGCAGGAGTACCACAGAAAACATAACAATTGAAGACACTTGTGCAACTTAATGTTGATTTCCTTACCATGCTGGTGAGCAGAGATTAAAGGGCTAAACTCAGGAATAAAAGTATATCTGTTATTCCAAGTGATGATTCACTTATCGGCAGTGCAGCAGGTAATTTGGTCAGCACATTTCTGAGCTGCTGTGTGACAGGAATCTTTTGTGGTGGTAGAACATTTGGCACCTTTGCATTAGTGACACTTTTGTGTTCTTGCCCAAATGATGTATTTTCCTCATAGAAAAAAAAAAAAAAAAGGCTTCTCTTTTCTCCATTGCTTCTTGCCCTGGGTTAAGACAAGGGTAGAGTGTAAGGGGAAAAAAGGTTTGGGCTGAAGCTGAGAGTTCCTTTATGCTAAAGTGAAGACTGCTTAGAGGAAGGAAGGTGAGTAATTTTCTTATTTATGAAATGATGGAAGCAAGGCTGGTAAATTGGTTAATTATAGGCTAAAATAGAGGGAAGAGAAAGAAAGGTGGCAGGGAGGAATATGAAAGAGTGATAGCCAGTAGAGGGGAACTGTGAAATTCTGGATTTACCCTTAGGAAAGCAGGAGAAATCTGAACAATAGGGAACAACACGCTTTTTGCACAAGTTTCTTAGTATCTTAACAGTGGGAGTTGGGTTGTATTTTTTTTTTCTAGAGTGAATTTACCTTTGTCAACCTATAGAATTATTTTTATTTTTATTCCTTGGAAAATAACAGAGTGATAAAACAGTGTGTAATATAATAGCACTGATGGATAATTGAAGTGCTTTGCAGCTGGAAATTGGTGCAATCTCTCAAATAATTGCCCCTGAGTCTGAGTATTACAGTGACTTCAAAAATTACAAAGTTAGTTGAAAGTAAATTTCTTGATACAATTAACAGCTAGTATAAAATAAATCCAAGTTTATTGTTAAAGCAGGAAGATTATGAGGCTGAAAAGGAATCTGTTCCTAGCATCTCATCTGAACTGTTGAATCAAGATACTCCTTGAATGTCACCTTTAAACCAGCTCTGCGTTGGAAAAGTCCTGCATTCAGGACTAGAGCATGTATTATTATCCAAAACAGAGAATTTGAAGAACAAGGCCAGTAGGTTTAGTAGCTCCTCATGTCATTCCCTTGGCTTCTCCTGGAAATGAAATATTCCTCTGAATAAAATTCTCAAGCAGGATAAATAAAACTTCAAATCTACTATCTTTTTCTTATTATCCTCATGCTTAAATGATATGTTACATGCAACCCCCCTAAGTTTCTTCCCTAGTAATTTCAATTTATTTGTTGTATTTGTGGTAAACTCAGACTTGTTTTTTATTTACACAGAAAATTTTATCCATTGCAAAGAATACGAACCTTCTAATATCTGTAGTTTATATTAATTCTTTCCTAAACATGCATGTTTCATTTTGATCTGCATTTCTTTCATTGCTTGCTTGCATTGTCTATTCCCTGAAATTAAGAAGAATAAGTAAGTCCACGTCTTCTCTGCGGAATAAGATAGTTGGAGGACCTTCAGTTTCTAAATATCTGAATTTCTGTAAAAATCCTGTATGTTATCTGAATTTTCTATGTTTAATGTGCACTGCCTTAAACTACTTGTTTTTTCCTTGCCTGCTCTTTCAAGATGCCAATTAGGAATAATGGGAAGCAAGGGGTAGGCTAAGCATTGCAGTGCATTGTTGTTTCCATCTGTCTGTGATTATTCCAGCCAGCAGTTTAAAGCACTTGGTGCCAGATCCTGCTCCCATTGAAGTTAATTGGTTTTTTTGCCACAAGGTTTGGTGGGAGCTGGACTGGGCTCTGCACTCTTGTTGTGTTCATTGCGTTCTCTCTTGTCTGTGACGCCGCCACCCATCCATGCATGTGTTTGCCAGGTTTGTGCTGTTTTCACCGATGGGCTTGTTCCTCTGATGTTTCAGGTTAAGTATTAATGATGAGACAAAAAGGATTATTGGGTAAAAATGTCTGCTGAAAGCAGCTTTTTTAGTTTATCGGTTTGCCTTTTAAAAACAGCACTACATTAAAACAATTTCTTTCTTTTAAATTATTTGTATCAAACTGCATTTGAGACATCTGGCGATACAGATATATACAATATGTATATATGTATCTGTTTTTTTGTATATATACATGGACAAATTGTGTATGTATATATATGGGGAAAGAGAATATGATTTGTTAAGAAGTCGCCTATATATTTAAAACACTTTAAGAGCTTACTGTGAATTGAATGAATTACAAGGTGATTTTTATAATTTGAAAAAAAAAAACAACTTAAAATATAGTCACTTCAATATGTAAAAAAAACCCTCTTAGTAAATCCCCTCCCCCTTCAGGATGATAGAATTTGACTAAGAAGATATTTTAATTTCTTTTTATAATGCTTCTGTAGAAAAGAGTGTCATTGGACAGAAATACCCATAATCCTTTTTAATGAAAACTTGAACTCCGAGACTGAAGAAGTGAAGCTCTTAAAGCTATTGAAATTATTGTCATCCTTATTTTTTTTTTTGAAATATTATTCTGAAGGCTCATGAGGCTGAAGAGGAGGCACGGATGAACCCGGAATTTGCAGACAGAATCAAACAGCTTGACAAAGAGGCATCGTACTATAGAGAAGAATGTGGCAAAGCTCAGGCTGAGGTTGACAGACTTCTAGAAATACTCAAGGAAGTAGAGAATGAGAAGAATGACAAAGATAAGAAAATTGCTGAGTTAGAAAGGTAATGTTTGTATTGTCTTACACTGAGTAGCGTTTTTGCTTAATTGATCTTCATTTCAGAGCAGAGTCTGTTTTTTAACAGAATATTTGTTATGCCTTGTAAAATTGAATCAGAAATGAAAAAAAAAACAAAACAGGCTACTTGATAACTTCATCTCCTGTCTGCTGCCTTTGGAACAATTTAAGGTTTCCATTTTTTAATACTCTTCATAAAAGGAACACATGTAGGAAAAGTCATGTGCAATTTACAGGGACAACAACCCTCCCAGAAAACCATGTTGGGGAGCAATCCTGTCTTTCTGGTAACTGGTGAATCAAAACTGTCCCCACACGTTTCTTCCCTGTGAACATCATCACTAATTCTAAGAGGTCCTGAAAAGTATTGGTGAGTGTTTCTAACCTGTCTCATGACTATTTAATAATAGTTGTAACTATTTCTCAATGTTCCTGTAGTCTTTGACTGCTTCTAAAGAATATTTTCTGATGTCAACCAGACGGTAATTATCTTATTTCTGAGAAGGTTGTACAGTCTTTTCTTAATGGAGACAGTTGGGTTTTGGGATCAGTTGTCTCACACCCTTTGTAATTAAATAATTCTTGGAGCCTTCTCCCACGTGGTTTGCTGCTATTTACTTATAAGCCTCTGATTTCTTTGTTCCTTTCCTCTACTTAGCCACTCTTACTTAAATGAAAGAAGGAGGTTTGGGGTTTTTTTTCCAAATGCTTTATATAATTGTTTTATTGTGATAAAGCCAGAAGAAAAGTGTTTCATGGTTCCAAAAGAGAAGTTTAACTGATCTCATTGTTGTGATCATTGCTATAGTTCCAGTCAAGACAAAGGACTGCTCTGTCTCAATAAGAAGTATTACCAGCAAAGAGGGGAAGATCTGTGGGAAATGTTAGTTACCTTGGAGGGTGGAAAACAGCCAGCTTGGAAAGAAAGAGGTGTAGAACACCTTTTACTGACAGTGACTTAAAAACCTTCACAGTTATCTGCTGCCAAAACTTATTTTTCTCTGCAGACATTTGGCAAAGTTTAATAATGGTTAATTGTCATGAAAATGGAGACGTCAAATTTAAAGTGAAAAAAGATTTGTACTCAAATTAGAACTGATTGTTTACAGGAGGACAGCTTCAGTTTGCAGTTGCCTCTCTCACCACATCAGAAAGCATTTAGAATGCTCTAGTTTTTGCACCTATTTTAATGTGTTCTTAAAGAAATAGTAACTAATCTCCTTGCACTATAAAACCTACTGAATTAATTGTGTGACACCCGTCTCATTAGTAGGCATGCTAAACTTTTATTCAAGATAATTTTAAGACATTTATTAAGTAACAATCATGTGTTGAATTTTTGAATATTAAAGTGCTAATTAAAAGATGATCATGATTAAGTGCTGAAGCTTGAATATTTTATGGAAAAAGAGATAAATAATTGATAGAGACTTATTTGAATTAAATTGAGAATTGATTAAAAAGCAATAATTACAAAGAAACAAGGAACCAAGGGATCCAGAGATATTGCTATGGCATTGTCAGCATACAACTTGTTCTTATTGTCTGAGAACCCTGTAATAGGTTATGCAATGGACAGAACGTTCTATTTTTGTACTCTTTTCGTTTTTTTAAAAAATTCTGTGTACTCTTACCAGTGAAATTTTGGGACACCAGTTTCTAGTCTGTTGCTGTTTTATCAGGGTGTTGATCCTGACATAGCTTTTCAGAAAATAATGTGGTACTGCTGAGTGGACACAGACTTTTTGAAGAGGATACACTGTACTAACAATGTGATGAAGTAGTTAAACCTTGCTATGAACCTTTAAGTACTTCTGTAATGCTTGCAGTATGATATCTGTGCAATGACCAGCTAAAGAGAGGAGCAGTATGTTGGAATTTTGGGACTCATCACGCTCTCAGGTTTCTTTTTGAATTCTGTTATCTTTACTGCAGTTTCTCAGTTGATTTTACTTATGAGCAGCTTTCAAGATTAATTCCAAATTCCTGTACACATAGTGTATGTATAAGGTAATTATTGTAAACTGGGAAAAGAAAAAAGAATTAACGTAAAAATTATCTATTGTTGATTTCAATGACAAGTTACTGCCATTACTTGCTAATGGAGTCTTAAAGCTGCTTTCCAACATGCCTAACCAGGGTCTTAAACTTGTTGATTGGATGACTAAGGCTGGCAATCTGCTGGCAGTATGAAGGTGTAACAGGGAAATATTTTTTGCAAGTGGGTATCAAACCTCTCTTACTAATCAGGTTCACTTTAGGTTTCTCTAAAATGTAATTGATTTTCTCTCTCTCCTTATTTTGTAAAACCATTGCCAAAAGATCTGTATTTAACTGTGGCACCTGTTGGTATCCCCAGAGAGTGAACTTTGATGTTCAAATGCCCCTTTCTAGGGGTTTAGGTGGAGCGTAAATTGCTGTAACATTTTATGAAGAGCTGCCACTTTTTTCTTCTTGTAATGACTGTTTGATTGGCTCATTATTGAAGGGAAGAGGTGGAGCCAAAGCTCAGTTTGCCCGGTTTATGGGAATAAAACATTGCAAAAATGACCACAACTTTAACAAATTCAAAGATGTTCTTTCCTTCTTGTCCCACTAGAAATATCTGCTTCGAGATATGGGCAGTTAAATTTATAAGGGTTTGCTATTTGGCAGATGAACATTATTAATAATTATGGAGCAACCTTCATATGAATGGTAATTCTTTTGGTTTTAATGTGATTTTCTTGGCTCAGAAACTGTCACACTCCTCAGTTGCATCACTGCAGGTTCATATTATTGCTCATATATCAAAACATGTGGGTCTGTTTCTTAAATTACTCTCTCTATATTAATTTTGTATTTTCCAGTTTTTTATTATTACATAGGACAACCAGTTCCTTCTTTTATACTCAAGCTGTTTGATAATTTCTATTACATTTTTCATGATTTATCTGTTTATAATTAAAAAAGGTTAAAATTAAATGCAAGATATTGCATTCAGTGTGTAATGTACTTCCGTTAAACTTAGCTGGATGTTTTTCTTTGGTTTTCTTGGTGAAGAAATGTAGTGTGGGTGGGTTTTTTTTTGTTTTAATGATGCAAATGAAACTGGATATGATAGCGATAAGCTTAAATTTTAATGCAAAGGACCTAGCCAAGGAGAGGGAGCTGCAGCTGAAGCTGAACTGTCAGGGCTGAAGGAGTATGTTGTTTAAAGCTTTTATTATTGGTGTTAGAATGGGAAGTATATTTATGAAATATGATAGGGAGTTTGAATTGTGAAATTACGTGAAATACAATAGCATAAAATGCATGTTGGTGAGGTTGGGACCAGTAAGACTGCCTGCTGTAAACTAAGGATAATCCTTGGTACAGTTTAGGAAGAGAAAGATTGGGTGAATTTGCTTATGGCTGTGTCATTATGAGTCATCCAAATAATGATGCAGATGTCTAAATAATGAGGAGTGAATCCTGATATGTCGGAATAAGTGTCTTCAGTGAGGATAGGAGGGTATTAATGTCATAAGGTGCTAGCAAGGCTCCATGTGGAACACTGCTGTGCACTTCCCATCAGTCATATTCAGGGAAGTTGAATTAAAACTGGAAACCAGTGCGGAGAGGGCTGGTGAGATAATGATGGGAATGGAGTGCTCATGTCACAGGAGGGATGTGAACAACAGTGGTTTATTTCTCTGGGAAAACAAAGGCTCAGAAGGGAAGTTTGTTCTCTATAAATATATGAAAGGGTAAGCCCTGCAGTGAAAGAGTGTGACTTCAGTAAAAGAGCACTGGCACGTAATACAATATAAATTACCCATTAGTAAATTTAGACCGAAAAGAGAAATAAAGTGATGACAACGTGGTGTAGCTTGAAAAATCTTAGATCTGCTTTTCTCCAGAGATATGTTAGATAGTGGTCATTTGCTTGATTGAGTGTAACTTCTCAGCAAAGACTGCAATAATATGAAAGCCCATTAAAAAGATTGTACTAACTGTGAGATAAAACTTGTTTGTTTTTAAACAAGAGGTTTATTTTTTGTTATCTACTTCTCATATGCAGTGGTAAGTTTAGGGTAATAACATTATAGACATGCATTTAAGCTCTTGGGCTGTTCAGACTTCAATTAATTAATTTTGAATTGATTTGGATTTGAATTCTGATGAAGATAAGACCACACAGCACTGACAATTCATAGCATAAGTGACAAAACACCAGCATATGGAATAATTCCTTTTTTAAAAAAGGATTTTTAGGGCTTTAAAAAATGTTCCCTATCCTAAGTGCACAAAAAGCTGTACATTACTGACAGATCTAAGGACTAGTCTAGCTGGGTGGGGATTTTTTTGTCTTACTTATTTGAAAGGGCACGTTAGGTATTTTTTAACAAATAAGTTATCAAACATCAGAGTATTTTCAGTGCTGAAGTATTAGTCTGATTCGTCATACTGAATTAAAAATTTGCTGTCAGCATTAGGAGGGGCTGCATTTCTGGGGGCGTGGGTGTCAAATCTCTGTCTTTGATTATTAGGTACAGTGCTTCGTGAACTTCTGAATGGTATCTTTGAACAAGCTGCCAAATTGTTCAGCTGCTTTGGCTTCCATGGGAAGGTTTGATGAATGAGGGTCACTAAGCCTGTGTTAGTTCAAATAAAAGACTTTTTGGTATATGATGAGACATTTGTGTTGCAGCAAATGCTATCAATATTCACCCAATTTATTTTTTCTGTTTGGTGTGTGCATGCATTTGGATGGTTATAAATATGGATGGCTTTCCACCATTCACAAATGACAAGATGCTATTTTACTTTAAAATTTCTGTTCTTTTCAGTGCACAGCAAGGATATAGCTCTTCAGAAATTTTATTTTACTTCTTGCTTTTCCTTCTCTTTCTTTTTCTTTTTTTTTTTTTTAATTATCTGCTAATATAACATCTGCTTGTTATATTTTTAAAGAACTAATGTGTTCCTCCCTTTATTCTCTTTTGCTGTCTTCCTCCCTATCTGTTTTTCTCCAAACTGCTGCTTTCATCCCTACTCCAACCAGCTTGACTTCCAGGTCAGTATTTTCTGCTCTCCTATTTAATGCTCCTTCCACAATGAAGGTTTTCATTGATGCTTCATTTATTTGGCAATTTTGATTTCAGAGAAATAACTTCTGTTTGTATTATGTTGTCTTTATTCTGCTTGTCCCTTCTGTGAAGTTTTTGGTCATTCCATTTCTAGATCAGAAACTTTACAGTAAGTGAATACTTTTCTCAAAAGTCTGTAAGAAAAAAATGTTAATTAACAACATATTCATATGTTGTTTTGTATGAAGATTTTTTTCTTTCAGTTTTGCTTCTATTATCTTTGTTTTGGGAGCTCAACACTGGGAGTAACATTTTTGGTAGATAACCCACCCAGTAGGAAGTGTGTTGACCAATAACAGAGAGATTTTATACCTCTGATCAGAGACTTATTCTTAATACTTTGACATCACCCCTTTTACTGTTATTGCAAAGGAGGAGTTGCAGTGGCTGTGAAGGTTTTAGCTGTTTGTGCTGGCCAGATTCTGGTGTCTGTATGTGTATGTTTTATATGCTGTGTTTGGATACAGCCTCATCTAGTCAGACTCCTGTTCCTCTTTCTTCCAGGTTTTAGATTAGTTTAGCTGGTGCTTGTGCTTACACACTGTTGGAGTAAACTTTTCAAGTATTACTACGTGGCCTGTGGTGCTTGTCGAAAGTAAAAATTGATCTAGTTGACATTTTTTTCTCTTATTAGGCCTTGATATTAATTTTCTTTCTCATGCTTATGAACGGGTGTAACTTCTAAGATAGCAAAGCCTTAAAACGTGTACTTGGTATTTTAGAAACTAGTAACTGTATATTGTTTGGATGATGGAGTCATCATTATCAAAGTTAAAGGAGGGTATATACTGCAAAAACTTTGCAGATGTATTTCAGCTTCCTCTGTGTTGCATTTGCCAACACGGTTCCAGGTTGCCATGCAGCACATTTGACTTGAATCATGACAGATATCCAATCGGCCTTTATGATATGTTCAGTTAGGAAGTTTTCATATTTTTTCCTCTCAATGTATACTTTTAGCACAGTGTTTTCTATTCATATAGGAGGAAAGCTTGGGAGAACTTGGGAGAGTTTTGGTTTCTTAATCTCAAAACTGAGCACAGTTCACATCTCATGGTTCAGAAAAGTCAGAAGTTTCTGACATGGATGTCTTTGAACTGTATGGCAAAAGATGGTTCATTATGAAAAGACTGACAAGACAAGAGGTTTTTTTTCCCTGCTGTGCCTTGATGCACATCACAATTGCAAGTTTCTTTCCAGCTGAAAAAATTTGTTTTGGAAATTTGAGGCTTATCGACTGAAGTAATGAATTGGATGAACACCTTTTTTTTATTGTCTATTTACTACAAGCACATTTTGATCTGCTTGAACGGATAGTTATTACACCTGGATTATGAAAATACTTCAACAGTTTTTTCGGAATGTTTCTTTCTTCCAGAATTTAATTAAATGCATTTACCCTGGAGTTGGCTATGATGAAATTATTGTCTGAATGTAACCACTCTGCATTTCAGAGCATACCCAACATTGATGGAAAAATCTCTCTAGCCTGAGAGAGCTTAAAGAAAGGTATTATGCTATGTGGTTGTCATTATGGTTGATTTCACTGGAATTCAATGATTGGTATGCAGAAACATTTGTTCAGCAGTTGGAGGTGCAATTTCTGTTATGTTTTATTGACCTAAAAAACCAGCTGACCTTGTTGAAGCAAACTGTCCTCATAACCCTGCCAACTTTCATCCCTAGAGTCCTGGATAAGTTGTAGCGTATGATTAGAGTTTATTGTGGGAATTCAGTGAAGTGTTAAGTTTTCGCAGCTTGAATCTTCATTAAGGTCAAAACATAATTTAAGAGACAGATCTATTAATTTCTGTAATTTCTGCTGATCCGTATGTTCTTAGCTGTTATTTTATTTGCCCGTATTTATATGAGGTTATGATGATTAGAAAAATGCTGGATCCGTTTTACTAACGTGGTGGGCTGTTGATACTGGTGACAGACAAGAAAATCCAATACATTGGCATAATCCTGCCCTGTGCACCTGCCTAGACAAAACAAGAATATTCTGAGCACAACAGGCACTACAATGACATCCCCTCACCCCCTGCCTTTAGGTTACATCAGGTTATACACTCCCCAAGCCTGTCCACCTGCAGATAAAGAGGAGATGGATATTTTTTCCATGTGTAATATACTGACCAGTGCTAGAAAGTTTCCCACCAGCCTCTGATGTTGGCCTTCCTAATTGTTTCCGTGGGAGGCTGGGGCTCAGTGACATGTGTAAGGCAAGGTTTAAGGGAGTTTTAAATTTAACTTACGAGCCGTCCACAGTTTTGTCAAATGTCAGTTTGATGGTTCCAAGGGCAGAGTGATATGTTGTTCAAAGATAATTTCCCTGGAGAAATTGAGATAGTGTACTACTGAAAACTGAGAGAATCTGTGATATACATTACTCTTCTGAGAGACTGGTTATTCTGAGTGAGAAACATAGTTGTCACATTGGATAACAGGCAGATTGTTGACATGTCTTTCTGTTATAGTCTGTTTGCTATGTCTACAGAACCAGCATTTTAGCATTTAAACATTTTGAAAGAGATGACAATTTGAGTAGGGATTATTTAGATTTATCTGATCACGTGAGTGGTTTTGAATTTTTGAATTTGTAATTAGATTTTTAAATTTAATTTTATTTAAGAAATAGTAAAGTAGAAATTTTATTTCCTCAAAATTCTATTTTCTTAAGAAAAAAGTTTAAATTAATAATGTATTATGAAATAAGCAGAAATCATAGTGATTAAAAATAAAAAGATATAAACAGGATCCTGGGACAAGATGATGTGTCATTGTTCATTTTCATCCCACTCACTACTGTGTCTGCTCAGTTCTATACTTTCCCTTTCAGTTTGCTTAAAGGCATGAAGAGGTTAAAATAATAGAAATGGATGATTTAAATAAGGAAGGATATTTTGTAATTTCTCATTGATATGATTCTCATTGATTTCTCAGTGATATGATTTTTTTGGGATTTGATTTGGAGTGTAAATACTCCACTGAAGCAAATGGATATACAGTATGAACTGGATGTAAAAAGAGCCCTGTCTCTCTGAAGAAAAAATATCCACTTTGGATTGGGTTGAATGTGACACCAGAACTCTGGGGAAGAGGGAACACAAAGAACTGGTACTCTTTCCATTTCATGGTTAGTGGTTTCAAGACACAATAATATTTCTTATGCTTCTCCAGACCTGCTGCCTCCACTAGTTTTCCCCGGAGGGAAGATCCACAGAGCATATTCCTTTACCTCTTGAACGTGTGAATAAAGCAGCCCCAGAGCGCTCTGGGGAGTTGGTGCCTGCCTGGGTGCAGTGCTGTCAGGATTCCCTGTGTGCAGTGCAGGGGTGTGTGAGTGAAGAATCATTGTGAGATAGCACAGCTCGCCCTCAAAAAGCTGTGACTGAAAAGAGACAGGGGAACTAAATTTAGGAATTGGGCTGTTGGTGGGACCACTTCTCCCACTTTCCCATTGTTTCCTTTCACAGTGCAGGAGCGACATGCCTGGGCAACATGATTGTGACTGGATTGAAGTGCTCTGATCTGAATTTATAATAAGGGGAAGTTAGTGTGTCTAAACAAGAAATCATACAGTGTACCTGATTTATTTGGAGGTCTGAAGAAGTTACTGCAAAAGCATGGAAAGCTTGATTTATGTATTGAATGATAATGGCTGGATTGATCCTGAGAACTTCTAGGGTGAGCCAGGAGTTGCAGTCAAAAGATTTGATTCAGAAGGAAATTGCAATGAATCATGGAGTGCTGCAGAGGAGGTGTGATCCTGATTGCTGTCAGGCTGAGCTGGACATGCTGCGGAGCAGTTGGATGCAGAGAAAAACTGGACAGAGTCAGGAGGTGGTGGGGCATTTTTTGAATTTTTTTTTTGTTTGTTTGTGTGGGGATGTTTGTTTTGTTGGCTTTTTAAAGAAAAAAAGCTTGCCTGGATTACAGCTGGAAAGGACTTGATGGATCAGTAGCAGGATTGCAACTCCTTAGCTGCAGATTTCAGGCAACAGACTATTTCCAGTTGCTGGTTACAATTATTGCTAATGGTCTCAATTAATAAAATAGCTGAGCAAGCAATTGCCATATTAAATCAGATCAAATATCCTTCTCATCTAGTGCCCTGTCATCAGCAGCATTTTATTTTATTTTTTTTTAAAAAGAACATCAGAAGAAAAGACCCAACCATCCTGGGTGTGCAAGAGAGATGTGTGACAGATGAGTCTTCTGGTATGAATTTCACACATGTTCATGTAAAGTGTCATCCAGTAAGAATGTGCTGAGGAAGACAGTAGTGCAATGCACTGTGTTGGAGTTTCAGTGGTTGCAGTGCAGATAAGTGTTGAAACAAAGTGACATGAACCATAGTTTGGAACAGGATTTTAGTAGGTCTTTTTCATTCATGCATTATCCTCACGTGGATATTTCGAGCATCTCTCTAGGGCTTTAGAGGGAACTGTGTCAGACTAAACACTTCTTAAATAAAGATTTTGGAAAATTTCCCAGATTGTGTGTTAGGTAAACTCTTCCTCCCACATTTTTGTCTTTGAGGTGAGAAATGTTTCAGTGACTTCTGTGACACTTGCTTTATTTCTGCCAGGCAGAGTTGTTGGACAATAATACTGTTTTGTGGTGCATTTGGGGGGCAAAATTGTTGTCACACTGAAGCACTGTCATAATATCAGTCCTAGGAGATCTGAAAGTAGCCTTCAGAAATACTAAGATTTAAAGGGTGGGGCTGGGGGAAGAAGAATTAAAAAAAAAAGGTTATTTGACTTTGTGGCTTTATTATTATTATTATTATTATTAACGCAGCAATAGGATCAATTTCTGTTTTTTTGAGACCTATAGATCTCTGTGGGCTGCAAGCCTGCTCCCTTGAGCAAAACTGAAATAGCTATGTAATCTATTAGTAACAGAGTTGGGAATATAC